GTCTTTATTATTTTGGGGGGTTTAGTATAATAGGGGGAAGGGATTAATCAACGATAATTATTCATATATATATATTCATATGGGGGGTTCCATAAATGTGGGTACCTCAAAATAGATGGTTTCTAATGGAACATCCTATTAAAATGGATGATTTGGAGGTACCCACATTTCAGGAAACCCCCATATCATATCATATCATATAATGTTGATATATTTTTGCGATTGTTCGGTCATGTTCAGTCTAAATGGCTCAACTACAAATGTCTTGGATCAACTACAAATTGACACACATTGGACAAAATTAAACTAAAGAAAAAAGATTTGGATGGCAGCCTGCTGTTTCTGATGCTTCTTCGAACCCCCAATTGCCATCAAGGTTTTCGACCCCGATCTTTTCGACGCAGGCACGCCGTAGCATCCGAAACGCTTCCGAGACCACAAAGTCACTAAGGCACTCGAAAAGGCAAGTGATGGCCATGATGGTATCATGCGGACCAAACTGCTTGGCATTGTGCAGCCAATCCCACACGAATCTGCGAAACCACGACAGATATCGGTGGGAGGGAGCAGCTTTCATCAGTGTTCCTGATGAAGGTTCCACAACTGGTGCTTCAAAGGTAAGCACCGCAGCTCCAGCAACCGACTCTGGTGCCATGTGGAGAAGCCCGCAGCCCAAAGGCATCCGCGGCATCCATGGCATCCATGGCATGGCCTGGAATTGGCCTAGAGTTTCAATTTGAACTTCCTCTGCTCACGTTGCGCGCATGTTCGACATGTCCCTCATCTTTGTGCTCCGGGCTCAGGCATGTCTCAAGATGTCTCAAGCTCAGCCTCCAGGCTTAGCTTCTGCCTGATCTTCTCCTTCAGTTTCAGCTTCTGGCGGTATCCAGCCTCGGTCCGTATTGAAGCCTAAAACCTGGGATTTGATTCTATGATATTCATTGATATTCTATGATTTTGTTGGTGTATCTGGTATTTGCCACAGATATTTCACACGTTCCCAATGGTCAAGCAGCACCTGGCCCCTGACGCGTGGGGATCATTGGGCCGTTCTGCTAAGAGCTCGCAAGGTGATATCGCTGGAGAGGCTGGAGAGGCTGGAGCCGCAACTGAGGGTGCAAGGATCAACTTTCCTGGAAAAATCTACAAGGACCACAACACCTGGGGTCCGAAAAAGATCACTGGCCAGGTCTGGTGAAGTTCATCGAAGATCCCAACTGGGATTGGACAATGAAAAACCGGCTGGATATCCAGCCAGTAAAGAAATTGCCTTTTACCCATCCCTTTGCACAGGTAGAAACACCAAGCCCTGTTCGGCACGACCTGTCCCTATTTTCTGGTACCCCAAAGTGCCATCTGATATAAGGCCTGTAAAGATACCCACAGACTACAGGTCGTGGCTGGATCTCCCGTTATTCACAGCTCCAACGGCCGCAGCACCTCAAGGCCGGGTTATTGCCATCGCCCATCAGCAAGAGGCAGAACTCAGCGGATGACACGGTAACTGTGGTCACTGTAACGCATGTCATGGCTGGGAAAGCCAAGATCTACATTGGAAATCAAACACGAACGAATCTATGGAGAATCTACTTCAGCAAGCCACCTTTGATTACCGGAGGGTATAACTCAGCTAGATACCCTCTGGTAAACTAACATAACTATGGAAAATCACCATTTTTAATGGGTAAATCCACTATAAATCACCATTTTCGATAGCTATGTTAAATTACCAGAGGGTATACAATATGGAACAACATGGAACAACCAACATTAACCCAAAAGTATGAGGATCAACCGACCCCCAGTGGGATGATTCATCCAATTCATCCGCTTCATCTGTGCCACATGTTTGACCCATAATGACAACCTCGAGATGAAACATGGTTAACATTAATAACCACTCTTAAAATTGATACTTGGTACCTCCCCAAATACATATATATATATATTATAATATTATAAATAATTATATATATATGTTCCAACTGAAGGAGTTATATAGCAGTTAGAAAATCCCAACGCTTCACATTACCATACGCCCCCAACGGCAACGCTTCACCGCTGCCAACGCCCTCAGTGGCCCTGCGTTGCCATCGCTGGGCACGCAGTCACCCGCCTGTTGTCTGGCTGCGGTGAGCCTGGCCCAGGATGCGAAAGTAACAGACAAAAGACCTGGAAAAGACCATGGTTAACTGCTAAGCTGGAACATGTTAAATCATGTCAACCTGGAGGCCTGGTTCTTTTCTGATGGTTTTTATACCTGCATATTGATTCAGATTCTTCAGGATGTTGCCATGCCAATGCAACTTTTGCTCGTTTCCATTGGAAGAGATGTTGACTAGATGTAAATCCTTCAAAAACCCAACGGACCAAACGAAACCAACATATCCCATCATATCCCCACATGACGGAAATTCCACCAATATGCATAGAGATTTGCTGCTAACCCCGGGGCGGTGATTTTTCCAAGAAACTCCCGGAAGTGGGCTTGGCCCTCGCTCCGGTGTCGCCCCACGCACTTGGACAGGAAGCGGACCAGCTGCTCCTATCGGGAGATGCGTTTTGATCCATCCCAAGCTACTAGGGTATGTCAAAAAAACATGTTTAGTTGATGTATAATTGTGAATCAATAATCATCCATCAAAATAAATTATTGATCTTCAATGACAAATGACAAGTAGCTGTATGTTACGTTTCCCACCAATGCTGCTGGTTGTAGGAAAGGTATGTATGTATACAGTATATTTACATATACACATCCACATGTATTGGTTATTATCCAACCATGATGATGATAGCAATGGATACTAATTGTGGATGATGAAGCCAGTCTATCATCGCAAAAGGTGTGGTTTTTAGCCATCCCCAATGGACCAGAAACAGGAGATCTGAGTCATCTGAGCAACAATGGCCATAACAACGATCATTTGGGTCTGAAAAAATGATACTCCCAAAATTGATGCTAGTTGCACCAGCATCACTAGTTTCCCTCTCAAAATGGCCCATGATGGCCCATGTATACCACTTGCACAGACCCATTAGTGACGCTTTTGTTCAGATGCATTTTACCAGTGGCGTTGACACAGCCAAAGCAAAATGTCATATCATTTCATCATCCAAAGATCTCCCCTTTTCATCTCTTTTCTTTTGTGTTAAACTGAAATCCAACAAAATTGAAGATGTTCTTGTTCAGCTATGTTGTGTCTTTTTATGAACTTGTGTTACAGTAACATAGTTTTGTGTTTTGGCCGTTTTGGCGATTATGTACTCAACCTCATTTTCCCATATTTTCCAATGAGATCTTCTCCGGGTCTCCCCTCAAATCGGCTCCAGCCGGAACCCACCTTCTTGAAGTCGCGATCAAAGTGCTCGCCAGTCAATGTGGCCTGCACAGAACCACGATGGCGAAATCGCGCTGCGACATCCGATGGGAATTGAAATAGCAAACTCCGAGCTGTTGATGTTTGGGAAATATGAATATATTTGGATATACCTGGATATTAGCTGTCAAATACCTGTCAAATATCCATGTTCACTGTTCCATGTCGAATTCGAAATGGATGTTCTAGGAACTTCAACGAGATCATTGCAAAATGCTCAGCACACCTTTCCACTGCTACAACACCAGACAGCCTCATCCTGAACGTAGACCAAGGCCGGCCTGAAGCCATCGCAGCCATCGGTCTTGACCCATCCCAATTGTGAAACTGAAAAATCCTCTGCCTTTTCTTGATGTCCATCTTTTTGGCTAACTCCTGCGAGATTGGTCTCATGACTTTGGTCCAAGTTTCTCAAGATCGCAAGCGTTGTTTTTTGGGCGAGACCATTTGTATAACAGATATGAACAGTGAAAACTCGCTGATTCAGACGTTTTAATTTGGGAAACTGAGGATCATCCTTCACAGATTCACTTCAAAGGTCAGCCTAGTTCAGCATGCCTAAACAGAGGGATGAAGGTGCGAGTCAATCCGCAGCTATCACGGCTGACCACGGCAACAATGAAACAGGTGCGAATGGATGGAACTGTTGGAAGGCAAATTTAGGTTCTAAAATGGTAGTGTCTCTAAATGTGGAAGCTCATTCGATCGCACCATCCATCATCAATTTTCTCCACTATTCAATGACCGTAGCTTGGGCGGCCCTTCCTTTTTGGGAAAACCCAGCAGTCAAAGTCCGGGTGGTGCCGCACGTGCCTTGCTGTTTTATGGCTATCCACCCATCCAGCATTGATAAATGGCTGTTGATATAGTATCGAAAACAAGACATGGCATGTGTCTTTTTTTGAATATGATTGTTTTGATATATTAGTATGGCTTGTTATATTAAATAATGTAAATGGATTGTTATATTATTATGGCTTATGATTGATGTGTATCTCTCCAAATTTTGTCTTTTGGAAGAATAGACCCCTCCCCAAAGCACAGAATGGATGGCACCCGGTCGATCCATCGATCCATCAATTTAAGCTAATCTCATCTAGTCTCATCCGATATCATTCTGATCAAAGGATAAAGTAAATGTGTATGTGTTTTTTCAACCATATAATATATATTATATGTATATATATATATTATGAATATTATATAATATATATATATATGAATATATGTATATATATACACATATTAATATGTACATATTATGCATATGTGTATATATATACATCTACACATATTAATATGTACATATTATGCATATGTGTATATATATATATATGGTGTGTAAAGTTGTGTTGTTTTTTGATACATGTGCTCATATTATGTCCTCAGTCCTCTCCCATTTCTGGTCCTCACTTCCCAGCAGCACCACGCCCAAAGCTGCTCGCCCTTTGAATTCGATGGAAAGCCTCTGTGGCGCAACACAGGCAAGAATCGGCCATGGAACATAGGGGATTTAAGCATGGAACATAGGGATTTCTGTGGAATTTAGATGGGATTTGATACGCTTTCAATGGGGATGAACCTCCATGATACTTCATGCAACACCTTGTTTTCCACAACCGAATCTTCCACATCTTCCACTCAAAAGGCCACCCCTTTTTTTCTGCAGTTCACCCGGGCCCGGCGGTCTGTCTCTCAGGGGTAGAGCTTGCGTCTTCCAGGGCCCATGGGTCCACAACTACCCTTCCCAAGCATCTTCGTGAGATCCTTGTCCTCGGGAAGGCCGAAGATGTATGTGACCATCATGGCCCAAGAGCAGTAGTCAATTTTGGCCTGCACAATGGCTCCGTTGACGTAAGTTCCTCGGACCCGAACCATGGTGTTGATGCCGAGAGGGTCACTTTGGCCATCAAAGAGGCTGGCAACCAGATGGGAGGAACCAGCGTAATTCGATGCGGCAAATTTGTAGATCGAACTCCCGATCTGTTGGGCAAGGCTGAGATCACCCAGCACGATACCGCTCGGGCAACCATCTGCATCAAAATCTTTGAAGAGAATGTTGTCGTCTTTCAAATCTCAATGAATGTAGCCTGATGCGTGCAGGCACTTCAAGCCATCATAAACGGCCCTGGCCACCACAGGGTAGCAGTGCTGCAGCTTCACCCGTGATGTTTGTTGATTTCGCCATTTGAATAAATCATATGGGAGCAGAGTTGTGACGAAGGAGTAGTGCTGCTGCTTCCCATCCACACAAGGGGCCGGCGTGATCAGTGGAATCACATGGGAGCAAGAATGCTGATTTGCTGCCAGCATAACCTGAGCCTCATGTTCCATTACAGCTTTGCCCTGCTGCGAGGAGGCCGAGACCATTTTCAAGGCAAAGTGCTTCTTTGATCCTGCGATTTGGACAGATTTGGACCCAACTCCAAGATGAGGACCCTTGCCCTAATTCGGATAAGAATCCGCTCAGATTACAATTGGCCAAATGAGTGCAAATGAGGCAATGATTTCACTAACCCCTTCCCCCCCAAAAAAAACTATAATAGAAACTCTGGTGGAATTCGGTGTGTCTATTCCTCCCCGTTAGGCAATATTGATTGTGATTGGGAGGCCCGTGTCTTGGTTGATCATATATATATATATATCGATATATACATACAATTGGATATTGACATATACTGACATGTTCCTAGTTGTCTTTGTTGGCTTCTCCTAAGGCCCTAAGGGGTCCTTGTTCCTCCACCTCATAGACTTTGCCCCAGTTGCCCTCCCCCAGGAGCTTCCCCGTCGAGTTGTACTGCTTGGAGCACCCCTGCTGCTCCAGCAGGGCACTGGGAATGGGCGGGACCTTCTCATCATCCGAGATGAGCCTCTCTGGGCGAAAGCTTGGTGTCAATGGACGGTCAAAGAACTCCACTTCCTCCAAGATTCCCGACCCCTGAGATTTCCAAAACGTCACAGTTTGGGGGGCTCATGCATGTGCTACCTACCAGGCAGCAATTTCTTTGGCCCATTTTATCACACAAAAAAGTCTTTGACCATCAAATTTTACCGCTATACAGTTGTTGTTTACCTACCAAAAAAACATTTCAAAGAACACCTGGGAGATCCCGGCTCCCGGGACCCCCTTTGGGGGTCCCAAGGGGTCCTGCTGCAGCGCTTGGTCATCTTCAAGTTGACGAAATGCCATCACTACCGTGGAGAGGGCGCAGAGCCAGATCCACGAGGAGAGCATGATCCAACAAACGAGGCGTTGAAAAGGTCACAACCAACGAGTTTCTAATCGCGCAATGAGTT